ATGGTGTCCCTCTTTACCAATCTGAAAATCTGGTCACCTTAGCCTACAGACAAACTGGAAGTGACTTCCGGTTTGCTCGTAGGGTCATGTTTTGCCCTCCGGAGCCTTCAGGGAAGCTTCTTGAAGGCCCCTGAAGGCTTCAGAGGGCTAAAACCAGACCTACGAGCAAAATGGAAGTCTGTTCTTGAACTTCTGGTTTGCCTGTAGGGCCATTTTTCTGCACTCTGGAGGCTTCAGGGAAACTCCTGAAGCCTCCGGAGGGCCTCCAGGAGGGAGACTGTTTTCATCCTCCCCGGGCTCCTTTAAAGCATCTGGAGCCTGAGGAGGGTGAAAAATGGCCTCAAAAAAAGGCTGAAGTCAGCTGGCCAGCGCGCGCCTTGCGTGCCCTGACAAATGGCTCCGCGTGCCACCTGTGGCACACATGCCATAGGTTCGCCATCTAGGGGACTCACTAATCTTTACGTGATAACAAAACAAATCTCACAGATCATACTTAGGTAAAGCACATAGAAATAATACAAGAACAGAAAATCATACTGTACATTGTAATTCATACAATGTATGATATACAGGATCAGAGCTAAGTCCTGATATTAATTATACGGTGTTAATATTGCTAAAGAATAAAAGGTTGCAATTACATAGGTAGTGGTGGTTCTGCCAGGTTTTTTCAATAAAGTCTGGGATTGCCTAGACTGCAACTTTAAATGAAATTCATAATGTAGGAAGATGTGCTCCAAGGACTCAATTTCTCCAGATGCACATGGATGTTTATCCTGAAATGAGATTTTATTGAATTTGCCCACCATTATTGTTGAAGTATGAACACTGAAATGAGCTCGTCTCGTAGAAGCCCCATCAATACATAGAATAAATGAAAGAATATAAATATTTTGTTGGGAAAGCTTCTGGATTTCTCTAATAGATCCTAGCGGATTGAATTGACTCATTGTGGAATTCAGCATACTCAGTCCATTGTCTAATAATCTTTGAATCTTTTAATCCCTAAATGTAACAAGAAAAAAAACATAGAACTCATAGACCTTGCGATGCTCATATATTATTTTAATGTAAACATGTCTTTAGAATTAATGACAATAACCCCATGGATACTAGATTATACCTAAACCAAAGGAGTAAACTAATTGTCAAATTTGGGTTTCAGGATTACATTAGGGTTATATCTCGGGGTCAAAATCTTCAGAATAGCTGTACAGAATTAGAAATTGTTAACCACAAATATATTTGTCCGCTAGATGCTGCAAAACCAGACAATAATCTATTATGAGTTCCTTTGCTTGAAACCTGTTTGCTCACTCTTTAGCCAGGCACAAAACTTCTAGCATAAATTTCTAATATGTAATTTAGTTTTCATTAAAGTTATATATATATTGTTTGGAGGATTCATTCTGGTGTTGGAAAATTATTTTCAGTTCAGCTTGCACACAGCATACTCCTACATGTATATCTAGATCAGAATATGCCACTCAATCCAGCTGGCAAAAGATATAGATTAATGTTTAATAAATAAGCATCAGAAATCATATAAACAATAACAAAAATAGCTGCCAAAAACAGGATAGAAGGCAGGCCAAAAAAGGGAAAGGCTTGAGCAACAGGGAATATTTTTTATTATTTTGTTATTTTATTTTAGATCCTTTTCCTGACTTTATTTTTTTTATTTTTGTAAATAACTCAAGGCAACAAACATACCTAATATTTCTTCCTCCTCCTATTTTCCCCACCACAACAACTCTGCGAGATGAGTTGGGCTGAAAGAAAGTGACTGGCCCAAAGCCACCCATGTAGTAATTTTCAGAGCCACTGAAAATTAAAACTGGGAAAATTAATATGGATAACCTTTAGTTATTCCAACTTTAATCATTTTATATATAGCAGTACATGGAAACTAGTTGGTCCTTCCTCTATACCCACAGGTGGCACAGAGCCATTTCTGTGGGCACATGAGCCATCACCCAGGTCAGCTCAACTGCACTTGCACACGGACCTCCCACCGGTCAGCTGATTTTTGGGTCTCTGCTGGGAGATGCACGTACATGCATGGGGGTGGGGGTCATGTGTGCATGCACAGGGGTGGAGGGATGTGGTCCCCACCACGTCCCATTTTTGGTTCCAGGAGGCTTCAGGGAAGCCTGCTAGCACCAAAAAGGGGGTCACACATGCATGCACGAGGGCAAATGGAGTGTGGGGCATCATGCACGCATGCATGGGGGTGGGGCCTGCAGGGGCATTGGATTATGGGTGTCGGCACATGCACATACGCTTTTAGCACCAGAGGAAAAAAACGGTTCGCCATCCCTGCTCTATAACTGCCTCTCACAAATCTGCTATGGCTGGGTTCTTCAACATTGCCAAATTTAAGCTGCCTGGATTTCACCTCCATTGCTGGCTGAGGAATTCCGGAAGTTGAAGTCCACATAGTCTAAAGTTGCCAAGATTGAAAAACACTGTGCTAGGTTATATAGAGAGTTTTTAGTGTAGCAGAACAATTTTTGATTTGATTTGATTTTAACTTTATTTGTATGCCACCCTTTTCCCTGAGGGGACTCAGGGCGGCTCACAATTCAGGGGGAGGGAAGTACAAAACAAGTTATACACATGAAGACAATACATCGTTAAAAAGCACAACAGTCATACTATTCGGGTNAATCCAACATGGCTTCGGTGGGATCGGCGCAACCTGCAGGGGGGACCAAACACAACGTGAGCGTTCTTTTTCGCAAACATTATTCGAGAGAGAATAAGAGAGCAAGCCGGCCTTCTCCAGCCTCACCACCTTAAAGACATCCGATGGAATTCCGGAGAACTGGAGGAGGTTATTTGGTTGTTTTTGTGCAGATGTTTCCTTGCTCAGCTATCTTCAGTGGAGTGCTTGATGCTCTCGGGGCTTGGTGGTTTTCCGGCAGACGTTTCATTACCCACCTAGGCGACATCATCAGTGCTAGAAGGGGGAGCATTCAGAAAGCAAACTCACTTCCTTCTATCACTGATGATATCACCTAGGTGGGTAATGAAACGTCTGCTGGAAAACCACCAAGCCCCGAGAGCATCAAGCACTCCACTGAAGATGTTACCTTGCTGAGCAAGGAAACATCTGCATGAAAACAACCAAATAACCTTCTCCAGTTCTCCGGAATTCCATCGGATGTCTTTAAGGTGGTGAGGCTGGAGAAGGCCGGCTTGCTCTCTTATTCTCTCTCGAATAATGTTTGCGAAAAAGAACGCTCACGTTGTGTTTGGTCCCCCCTGCAGGTTGCGCCGATCCCACCGAAGCCATGTTGGATTCCAGAGGTTTCCCGTTGAGTTGGAGATGAGCTCGGTGAGGAAGCAGCTGACGATCCCCCCTGGCAGCATGACCAAGGCCCGCCTTTTCCGTCTCTCGCTGGTCCTCGGCTCCATCTTCATGATCCTGTTGATCATCGTGTATTGGGACAATGTCGGGACCACGCATTTCTACCTCCACACCACCCTCTCCAAGCCTCAGGGGGCGCCCCCCACGGTGGGGAAGGACAACCCGGGTCCTCTGCTGGAGATGGATGACTTTTTGGAGGACCTTTTAAATTCCAACCTGAAGAAGAACGTCGATGCGGGTCGGAAAGCCGAGAAACCGAAGACCCCCTTGCGTGCGTCAAGGAAACCAGGGACCGGCAACTTGGAAGAGAACGTCAGAGGCTACGACTGGCCCACTCGGGAGGCCAACATGGGGCTGGACCAAGCAAAGTTGCAGAAGGAGAGAAGGCAGATGTTGCAGGACTGGTGCGCCAATTCCAGCTTCTCCTTCCCGACCAAGGAGAGGACCTTCGACGACATTCCCAACTACGAGCTCAACCACCTCATCGTCGACGACCGCCACGGCATCATCTACTGCTACATCCCCAAAGTGGCCTGCACCAACTGGAAGCGGGTGATGATCGTCCTGAGCGAAAGCTTAATGGATCAAGGCCTCCCCTACGTCGACCCTTTGGACATCCCCCGCGAGAACGTCCATAACACCAGCACCCACTTCACCTTCAACAAATTCTGGCGCCGCTACGGCAAGTTCTCCCGCCACCTCATGAAGATTAAACTCAAGAAGTACACCAAGTTCCTCTTCGTCCGGGACCCTTTCGTCCGGCTGATCTCGGCCTTCCGGAGCAAATTTGAGCTGGCCAACGAGGAATTCTACCGCCGGTTCGCCATCCCCATGCTCAAGCTTTACTCCAACTACAGCAGCCTGCCGACGTCGGTGAGCGAAGCCTTTGAGGGCGGCTTCCGCGTCTCCTTCTCAGACTTCATCCAGTACTTGCTGGACCCTCGGACAGAAAAGATGGCCCCTTTCAACGAGCACTGGAGGCAGGCGTACCGCCTGTGCCACCCCTGCCAGATCGACTATGACTTTGTCGGCAAGCTGGAGACCTTGGACGAAGACGCCACGTATCTTTTGCAGCTTCTCAAGGTGGACCATCTTCTCCACTTCCCTCCCAGCTACCGGAACAGGACAGCCAACAGCTGGGAGGAGGACTGGTTTGCTAAAATCCCCATGGCCTGGCGACAGCGGTTGTACAAACTCTACGAGGCCGATTTTGTACTTTTCGGCTATCCGAAACCAGAAAACCTGCTCAAAAACTGAGGCGGAGGAGTGTTGCCCCTGAGTCCCAAAGAATCCTCCTTATTTGATGTCCCCCAATTCAGGGCGTCCCCCAATTCCCAGGTTGTAGCCTGGGACTGGGCCACAGCCTGTTCGGAACTGAACTCGCATGAGTAGAAGGTGGGTGTGCACATGGAGCTCGATTTGCGCGAGCGGCGGGGCGCTCCCTTGCACATGTGAAGCTCCATTTGGAGAGGGCAGGTGGAGTGTCCACCGCTCGCGCAAGCGTATCTTGACAAACGCAATGTGATTGCCTGTCACTCGCGCCTGGGGTTTCGTGCATGTGTGCGAGGGCCCACCGTTCGCACAAACAGAGCTGTCCCAAGTGCTCACGAGGGCCCATCCCTCTGTGCAAAAGGAGCTTCCCGGGTGTGTGCAAGGGCCCGCTGCTCATGGAAACGGGGCTTCACGCCGCTCGTGCCAATTGAGCTGCGGGTGTGAGCACGCATGCGTGCCGCTCACACAGAACCATTTCCTCTCTCCCCTCCCTCAGTCCGCCAAGCTGGAAAGGTTTGGGACCCGTCCCCCAAATGACAAGGCCGCTCCCGGTGGTCCTTCACAAGTGTCCCTTTTTCTACAGCCTTTTTACAGGTTGCTCGGAAGCCAGAAAAGGTTTCGCCAAGCCTCTCTGGGGTTTTTCGTGGCCTCTTTATGTTTCCGGTTGTTTTACCGATCCGGTGGATTCTGCCGCTGTTCTATGTCGATGCTTTTTCTCTTGGTGCGTTTAAAACAAATGGGAAGAAAGAATTAATATATTAAAAAAAAAGATATTTAATACGGAGCCTGCCTTGGGAAGGAAGAACGAAAAAGTGTGTCCTGTTATGTTGCGTCTGTTCAACCTGATCCCCCCCCCACCTCAATCCTCAACCCCGGCCCGGAGGGTGGGATACGGTGGGGAAAAAGTCCTTGATGGTAAAAGCAGCAACGGATCCTTAGTTGCAGTTGTGTGTATTTATTTATAGAATAGAATTCTTTTATTAGAATTAGGGTACATAAGTAGTGTACATAAAAAGACAAGATTAGATTAGATTAGATTACTTTATTTGTATGCCGCCCTTTTCCCTGAGGGGACTCAGGGCGGCTCACAATTCAGGGGGAGGAAAGGACAAAAACAAGTTACATATATGAAGACAATACATCGTTAAAAAGCGCAACAGTCATACTATTCGGGTGGGGTTGAAGTCTTTAGCCCCAGGCCTGTCGGGACAGCCAGGTTTTAAGGGCTACGTGGAAGGTCTGGAGGGTGGTGAGGGTACGAATCTCCACGGGGAGTTCGTTCCAGAGGGTCGGAGCAGCCACCGAGAAGGCTCTCCTCCGGGTAGTTGCCAGTCGACATTGACCGGCTGATGGAACTCGGAGGAGGCCTAATCTATGGGATCTTATTGGCCTAGTGGAGGTAATTGGCAGCAGGCGGTCTCTCAAGTACCCAGATCCAATACCATGAAGGGCTTTGTAGGTGACAACTAGCACCTTGAAGCGCACCCGGAGATCAACAGGCAGCCAGTGCAGCTCGCGGAGGATAGGTGTTACGTGGGTGAAATGAGGTGCACCCACGATCGCTCGCGCGGCTGCATTCTGGACCAGCTGAAGTCGCCGAATACTCTTCAAGGGCAGCCCCATGTAGAGCACATTGCAGTATTCAGTAGATGCATTCTATAGAACAGAACAGAACAGAATAGAATGCAGAATAGAATAGAGAATGGAATGGAATACAGAATAGAATAAGAGTTTAGAATAGAATAGAATTCTTTATTGCCCAGGTGTGATTGGACACAAAGGATTTGTCTTGGTGCAGATGCTTTCAGTGTACAGAAAAAGATAAGATACATTCCTCAAGAACCATAAGATACAGCAATTAATGATAGTCATAGGGCACAAATAGGCAATCAGGAAACAATATCAATATCAATCGTAAGGATACAAGCAGCAAAGTTACAGTCCTGCAGTCATAAGTGGGAGGAGATGCGCAATAGGAACGATGAGAAGACGAATAGTAATAGTAATGCAGCCTTAGTGAATGGTTTGACAGTGGGGAGGGAATGATCTGTTTAGCATTTTTTTTTTTAGCATTTTGGAATTGGCCGTTTTAAGCGCATTCCTTTCAACACCTGCAATTTCACTTAACGTAGAAATTGCACGGAATTTGGAATTCGGCCAGCGTCCTCCTTCTCCCTTCGTTCTTCCCCCCTCCCGATTTTGTGGAAGGAGACCCCAAATCTCCCTCCTGCATATCTCTGGAGCCAAAAGAACGAGATTCTTCATAGCTCCTTAGCAGCTCCAACTCTCCCGCAGCTGATAGTAAGACCTGCCCTTCTGGCATTTGCAACTTGGCTTTTGCTGCCAAAATCTGGAATGTGTGACTCACCCATGGAGAAAAACAAGGCAAGGCCCTTGTCGGGATTTTGCACGGAAAAGATAAACACAGGCGGGGATTGCCAAAAAGCCATCCTGAATATATTCATTTCTGACAGTCTTGTCATTTTTCGAGGTGGAAGTGACTGGGGAGGAGCAGAGAGAATGTTTGTGTGTGTTGTGGTTTTCTTAAAGCAAAATTAGAGACGGGTGCTTGGGCTAAGGAATCTGCAGTCAAGAGGCAAATGGACAATTTGTAATATCTTGGGTAGAAAAAGTCTGGATAATCCTCAAAGGGAACAACATGCTTCTGTGCATATCCACCGGTCTGGATTTAAAAATGTATAACCAGAGAAACTGGGTGTTTTCCAGATCTTTAAAAGAGGCTTGGCCCTAAACACTCCCATCTTTCGGGAATCAAAAATCACCAAGAATCCAGGAGATGAACTCAAGACCTTGGGAGGTGGGTTGGTGGCCTAGTGAGGTCTTTTGGACCAAGGCTCCTCACCTGTTGGGACAAAGCAACAGGAAGGACCACTAAGAACTGAGAATCTTCTACCCATTCAATCTCCGAGCGAATGTTTCAAAGTGGCCAAGTGAGATGCCTCCTCCAAGAGCCTCTCAAATAACCAACCGGTCAAACATGTATGTTTACCTGGGGCCTCTAAGCATCATTCTTTTCTTCTGGGGGTGGGGAAGGAACCATCTGGGGCATTTAAATCTTCCTGGTAAGCCATCATCAACTTAAGTCTATTGACTAAAATTGATGAGGATGTTAGAAAAGTTGTGATGGATGAGCCTAGACAAACGAAATATGGATTTTAAAGGGAGGAGGAGGAGGAGGAGGAGGAGGAGGAGGAGGAAGAGAAGAGGAGGAATAATTAAGGGGGGCAGGAGATTTATAGCGGGTGTTAAACCGTGTTGTTTTCTTGCATCTGTTGGAATGCAGACATGAAGGTTTTGGAACAAGCCCTTGTTTGTACTAGATGTTTTCTGCCATGGAAATGCAGGCGGGGTTTTAGAATGGCAAGTGAGCCAAAAGGACACAAGGAAGCGTTGAAGTAGACCAACAGTCTTGGGGGGGGGCGGGGGGGCGAGGGCTGTGAAAACAAGCTGGACAGGCGTTGACCTCAGCTATCCCCAAAATATCCCTCTGGGATTTTCTTCCCCTTTAGAGCTCCTGATTGAGAGGGAAATGAAAAGGGGGTTTGTGAAAAGTCTTTACCAAAGGAAACTTCGAAGCATCTGGAAAAGAAAGAAGAGGAACATCTGAATGACATGTTTACAATGCCCACGTCTACTCTGGCCATCATCATGCTAACACAGGCGGGATTGTTCACATGTTAAAAGACGACACCAGTGTTTTGCGGTGGCTTCCGATGGCTGGTGGCTACTGGATATTAATCACATTTATGGAAGTCTTCTATAAATCTCATTTGTCTAATTTAAAGAAGACTATAAGAGGCTCAGTGGCCAAGACGCTGAGCTTGTCAATCAGAAAGGTCGGCAGTTTGGCGGTTCGAATCCCCAGCGCCGCGTAATGGAGTGAGCTCCCGTGACTTGTCCCAGCTTCTGCCAACCTAGCAGTTGGAAAGCAGATAAAAAATGCAAGTAGAAAAATAGGCACCACCTTTGGTGGGAAGGGAACAGCGTCCCGTGCGCCTTCGGCGTTGAATCATACCGGCCACATGACCACGGAGACGTCTTTGGACAGCACTGGCTCTTTGGCTTTGAAACGGAGATGAGCACCGCCCCCTAGAGTCGGGAATGACTAACACATATGTCCAAGGGGAGCATTTATCTTACCTATAAGTTTCTTCAATCTCATCAATGCAAGCATGTAGAGTGCAGTTTCTCCGCACCAGATGATCCCTTGGTATCTGGGACCTATTTTCAATGCAAAGTATGTTAAAATATTTGCATATTTCTCTTTTGGGAATGTAGAGTTCAATAACAAGAGTTTCCTAAACTTCATACAGGCAGGTGGGAAACTGCTAAAAGTAGTCAAAACACTGAACAGAAAGAAGAAAATAGAAATCAAGGATTCTCAGCCTTGTCGACTTCACGAATGGGTTGGACTCCCACTCCCAGAATTCCCCAGCTCGGGGAATTCTGGGAGTTGAAGTCCGTAGAATTTAAAGTCGCCAAGGTTGAGAAACACAGTCCTAGAAGAACATATTGTCCAAATGCGCCCTCTTGTGGTGAGACATGGAGGTGCTCCGCAAATTGGCAGAGTTCTGGCTACCTAAGCCCCCTGCCTCTCCCCTGCTCCTCTCTTCCTCTTCCCCTCCTATCCTCTCTCCTCTTTCTATCCCTTTCTCCTTCCTCTCCTTTCCTCTCCCTTTCTCCTTCCTCTTAAAGTGACTTTACCAGATCCTGTTTTTTTTTTTTTTTGGTGAGAATTCAAGAGTCACAATTCTTGCTTGATTTGTAGGGAAATCGGCTCAGGATACAGGAAGGGGCATCGAAATGAGGAGTCCCTTCATAGCTGAAATCCAGGGGACGTTTCAAATTTATTTATTTT